GGGATCTCTAGCGCTCCAGAACACTTCCAGAAACGCATGTCTGCTATCCTACGCGGAGTCAATGGAGTAATCTGTCACATGGATGACATCCTCATTTTCGCAAAGAGAAAGGAAGAGCATGACGAGACACTACGCGAAGTTTTGAGACGCCTAAAGAACTCAGGAATTACGCTCAACAAAGAAAAGTGCCAGTTCGGTGTAAGCAACGTCACATTCCTGGGACATTACATCGACGAACACGGTATCAAGGCGGACGAAAAGAAAGTCAAAGCCATCGCCGAGATGAAACCGCCAACTGACGTGCACGGGGTGCAACGTTTTATGGGCTTGGTCAATTTCTTAGGCCGCTTTGTTCCAAACTTAGCGGAAATCACAAAGCCACTAAACGACCTAAGAAAGAAAGATGTTAGTTTCATCTGGGGCTCACCACAGAAAAAAGCGTTCGAGAAAGTCAAAGACGTTCTGGCCAGTGACAGAGTTCTGGCAAGCTTTGACATCTCTAAGAAGACCATGGTCTCAGCTGATGCATCATCGTATGGCCTGGGAGCTGTCCTCAAGCAAGAGCATGAAGCCAACGAGTGGCGCCCAGTGGCCTTTGCATCACGAACGCTGACGAAGACGGAACAGGGATACGCTCAAATAGAGAAGGAAGCCCTTGCAATCACATGGGCGTGTGAGCGCTTCAAGGACTTTGTGGTTGGAAAAACCTTCCTCATCGAAACAGATCACAAACCTTTAGTCCCCATCTTCACCACTAAAGATCTGAACGATCTAACGCCAAGGCTTCAACGGTACCGTATGAGGATGCTTCAGTTCTCGTTTCATATCTTTCATACACCGGGGAAGGACCTAATCACCGCTGATGCCCTTTCAAGACAACCACTTCCAGGTCATCTTCCCGAAGATGAAGAGCTCCAGGAAGAAGTTGAACATTTTGTGCGAAGCATCGTCCTGCATCAATCCACGACAGACGACCGACTTGCCAAAATAGCCCTCAACCAGAAGCTGGAGCCTACCCTTCAAAATGTGGCATTTTATTCCAAAAACGGTTGGCCCGCCAAATGTCAGCTCTCTCCCTTAGAACGCTCGTTCTACGATGTTCGCGACGAGATAGGGGAAGAGAACGGCTTACTAATGAGAGGACTGCGAGTGATCATCCCCTCTGACATGCGAAAAGATGTTTTGAACCGCATCCACGCAGGTCATCAAGGAATAACAAAATGTCGAGCAAGAGCAAAGGATCATGTTTGGTGGCCAGGAATAGGTCAAGAAATCCAGGATATGGTAAAAACCTGTGAGAAATGCATAGAGAATCAACCTCTAAAGCACGAACCACTCATCCCCAACGACTTTCCGGAAAGACCGTGGCAAAAGGTCGGGATGGATCTCTTCCATTACGAAGGAAGTGAGTATTTAGTCGTCGTAGACTACTTTTCTCGATTTATCGAGGTCGTACGACTTACTAAACTTTCCTCGGAAGCTGTGGTAGATCACTGCAAAGCCATCTTTGCTCGTCATGGCATCCCTGACATTGTAATCAGTGATAACGGACCACAATTTCGGCCATCAACAACTTCAGCTTTTACGAAGTTTGCCTCTGAAGTTGGGTTTCGACACATCACTTCCAGCCCAAAGCATCCACAATCAAATGGTCAAGCAGAGGCTGCTGTAAAAATTGTGAAAAACCTGATGAAAAAGAATAAAGATCCGGTCCTAGCACTCATGGAGTATCGGGCAACACCCCTGGCAAACGGTCTCTCCCCTGCGGAACTTCTATTTGGACGGAAAATTCGCACTATGGTTCCCTGCACTTCATCATCATTAACCCCTAAAACAGTGGATCAATCCAAACTCAGGGGGGAAGAGGAGCAGCGGAAGATGGCGCAGAAAACGGCTTTTGACAGACGCCATGCGGCCACGAAAAAGGCGGAACTAATTGCAGGAGAGAAAGTTTGGGTGAAGGATCTTCGAGCGTGGGGAAGTGTCCTCGAGAAGGCTTCAGCGCCCCGCTCATACATCGTGGAAACTCCTGTAGGGACCTACAGGCGGAACTCTCTTCTTCTGGCTTCTTCCCAACAACAGGTCGACCCCAGTGAGACATCTCCTGACAGTGAACTCCCCGCTGAAACGGAGGAAACTCCGGGAAATGAAGTGCCTGCAGAGGAGCTACAACAGCTGCCAGCAATCGCTCCAGAGATAAAGCAGCTGTCTCCCTCACCTGGGAAAGTGTCGCGGTATGGGAGAAGATACAAGCGTGTCCAGCGCTAACCTCCTCTAAACTTTTTGGGGGAGATGTTGAGGGTTCAGGCGAGAATCCTCACGCGCCTAGCGGCGCCAGTGTGGCGGCGGGAACCGGCCGAGACTGGATCCCGCCAGTTTGTTTTGGTGTCGGCTGGAGCGGAGGACTAACTCGGCGTCTGGCTGTGTGTGGTGTTCTCCCTTATGTTCCGGCACTGGTGATAAATAAAACCGGTACCAAGGGAGCTCCGACGACTCAGAGTGGATTATTGACGAAACAACGGGCACAACACAACAGCTTGGTATTCTCAATAACCTAGGTTCAATACTGAGTGTGGGGGTCAGTGGAAGGCTGGTTAAAGCGTTTGGTTTTCGACAACTAGGTTCAATTCCCACATTGGACACTTTTTTCTGTTTAAAAAAAAATACTCCAATGGCCCCTGATTCTTTCAAAAGTCCAACCACACCAGCGAGTGCAAGTAACCAAACGGGCTCTGGCACATTTCTAAGTGCAAAGTTGAACTGCTTTTCACATGTGTAGACATGTGGTGCGCTTACAGTAAAAGCAGTCGCTAACTACCCACCATGATTATCATGGCTTGGTGTGGCTGTGTTGGTGTTTTTTTTAGATGTTGTTTTGTGAATTATATTTAGTGCTTGAAAAACTCAGCAGAAACCAATGCACAAAATTTTCACTTGTTGATATAGTCTCTCTCTTGTTGAGCCCTTTCTAACATACAAGGTAATAAGACCAAATCTAAATAGTCACAAGATAATAAGACCAAATAAATAAAAAAAGTGTGTTACATTTTGGTAACAGTGTTGTTACACAGAATGTCACTATTTATTTATATTTGGTCTTATAACCTTGTGTATAATCTATAATCAATGATAAGGCACAATTTGGATTATAGATTATAAACACAAGGTAATACATAGGTCCTCATTCACACACATATCCAGTTATCCTTCTAAAAAAAGAATCACTTAATTTAGATGAACAGATATTTCAAGGCCATTAAATTCTATGAGCATCATTTCTTTAATTATAAATAAATTTTGTGTCATTTACCATCGCTTATAGCTTTAGATTAAAGAGACTCTTCTGAAAGCTCAGCTTGTTTTTTATTCGTTTCTAATAAATAAATTGGAGTGTTCACACAGAATGTCCTTCATTACCTTACCACAATAATTGATAAGAAGTGAAAATTGCAATTATTCTGGGATTTGTTTGGTAAATTTCCTAATTGGAAAGGGAGATAGAGTGAATTGTTCTATCCAAAAACCTTGAAAGGAAATAAAGAAAGAAAAAAAGTATCTCCCTAATTTACATATTAGCTAAACAATTGGTTTTAATTCTCTATTTACACACACCTTCAATATGCAAATTTCATCACAATAGGTGTTATATCTAAATGTTTTACTATAAGAGACAAATATTTATTGATAAAAAGGTGTTATATAAAGTACTAGAGATTTAGTACCTAGAGCTCAGAATGCCAACTACCTGGGTTAAAATACAATAATAATTATAATATGATACATTAGCGCACCATCTGTTATTAGAATTCAAAATTATTATAGATGCATATGATTCTTTTTAAAAATTAAACAATTTTCTACTGCCCTTTACTGCAATGAATTGCCATCCCATTAATGTTTCATTGCAGTAAGGGCAATAGAAAATTATTTAATTTTAAGAAAGAATCATATGCATCTATAATAGTTTTGAATTCTCACAATAATTTTTTATCAAAATGTAGTTAAAGCAGCATTTCTTTAATCTGTGACAAGATTAATTATTCACTGACAAATCTTATAGAAATATGGCAGATTGTGAATATTTTATTTAATCCCTTGTGGATCTCATGAGATGAAGTCTGTCTTGGACTGAAGAGAGCCTTTAGCTCTAAACTATGATCTCTGGGTTGATGTTTTCAGTTTTCCAAAGTTGATGTTGTGGCTTTGTCTTCAACCTGTGTTCAATAGTTTGCTATTAGTTTTAGCGTCTATTTTAACAGGAGAGTCGACCTTTATTTTTACTGATATAAAGTATATACATTTTGTTATTTATTTACACTCTTGTTGATAGAAGGTCCAAAGATCAATGAAAGGTCAGGAATTACTCGAAATATATTTTGCTGTCACTTTTTTAGGCGTTTTTGTTTATTGTAAATATTCCTAGAATTGACCAATATTTTCAGTTTTAGACAAAAAAAAAGGTAACTAAATATATATTAAAAAATCAACCAAATAAATTGCATAATATTTTTTAAAGTGTTTCCGATATTGTGCCAGTATTCAAAGCACAAAACATTTACGTCAAGAGTACAAGAGAAAACAGGAGTATATTTTCATCTCCACCAAATTTAATAATGTTTTGAAAATGGTGAGTTGAAGGGAAAAAAGGTGTCATTACACCCAAATATTTGTAATAGTTTATTTAAAAAAAAAGGTATAATTTTATATGTACTTACATCTTCCATTCGATTCTTTTCAGAATTTAAAAAAACTGTTTATAAAAAATTAACTAAAATAAATTTGATATATATTCTTTTCATTATTTTGATACTAGACGAATGGCCCTGGCCCGGGCAACGCCCGGTTTTACCCGAGTGCGTATATATTTAAAAATGTTTTAATTAAAATACTATTCGTTACAATTATAAATTGGCGCCGTGGATGTCTCTCTTGTGAAACGTCCCGCCCCAAACTGTGTGTGTCTTGAAAATATAAAAATAAAAATGTGAACGGAAAAATATGTCCAGGGTAGCCTAGTGGTCATGGCATCTGCCCGGTAAGCGGAAGGTCGATTCCCATCCCTTGACACTTTTTTTATTTTATCCATTCTGACCAAAATCTATCCGTGAACTTCACACAGAGAGAATAAGGTAATTTTATAAGTAGATAATCCAAATTGTGCCTTATCACACACTATTTTTTTATTTGGCCTTATTACCTTGTGTTTATAATCTATGACGTAATGCCGGCGGCGCGCGCCCGTTGGCTGCCGGCGAGCACGTGACCTCCCTGTGCGCGCGCATCCGTGACAGAACCGGCCCATGACGGTCGTGACTATATATGTTGATGGATAATAATAATAATATAATAATAATAATAATAATAATAATTATTATTATTATTATTATTATTATTATCATTAGATAATGATAATGATCATAATGATGATGCGCGCGCATCCGTGACAGAACCGGCCCATGACGGTCGTGACTATATATGTTGATAATAATGTTTATATCTTTCTCCAACTCACACTTTCACAATTAGACTACAAACTACCAGTTTCGGTTTATTTAAGTACACAAACGATCTTTAAACAACGACAAAATTCGTAACATAATGATGAGTAAATAGGTACTCTCTAATATAAATTATTGAGAATAATTAAAATAAATTTGTTTTGATCAATATACACATATTGAATAGAAATAAGAAATTAAGCACAAGTATTTTACACAAACTAATATTTATCTCTCTAAGAATAAAATTATTATTTAAAAATGTCTCGATATTAAATATCACTTAAAAAATAAATAAAAAGAGCTTTGATTTCAGCCAAAAAAAAATATTATTTTTGAATTTACACTTGAAGAAATTACCTTAAAAAAAATTGTTTTATATTTTAAAGCAAGAGTGCTTCAAATTATTTTAAAAACGAAAAAAAAAAACATTCCTTCTAAATTGCAGCTAGCCATGAGTTTTCACACAGTCACTAGAAAAGTAAATAAGAGAGAGGAAAAATTTTTGGAAATTTCTCATTCGACGTGACCCCATATTTCAAATAATTTATTAATAGCTTTTAAAAGGGGGGAACATCATGTGGTGGGATTTAAAATCGTAGTATGTCCAAATTTTAAATTATAATTTCTCAAGTTTATTATCATTTAAAAGGATAAAAATGTAAATAGAGATTAACCGCTACAGTATTGACAAAATGCGCCTCAGGGGAACCCAGGTTTCCTCTATTTTCTATCACAATGGTAATTTCTAAAAGAATCGAATATATTTTTTCTGTTTCCATTTTTATTTTCAGGAAACAACAACAACAACAAAAAAAGGAGTCACATACAATCGCGATGCAAAAATAAGGTTTATTCCCTTAAATTTCTCCGGAAAAGAGTCATTAAATAAAAGAAAAGAAGTATAAACTATCTTGGTACGTTTTTTTGTTTTGTTACTTATATAATATTGGTATGTTTGTTAGCAATGACAATCAAGCACTCCTAACCCACTGTCAGAAGCTAAAAAGCCCTTCTCCTTCAAGCTTCCCTGACACAAATAAAATTATACCACAACAAAAATCAAAGTTCGCTATACATTAAATTATAAAAAAATAATATTTAATTCCTTTTTCACACTATGTGGATTTATTTTATGCCACACACCATATCATAATTTTTTTATTTTTTATTTATTTCATAGACAAAAAATATATAGTTTGAAAAACTTAGCAACGCCGCGTTGCATAAACAAACTAGGTAGAATAAATAAATTCTTCACCAACAAATTTTTCAAGAAACTTAGTCAAGTAATTTTTAAATGTGTGTAAAGGTGTATCCATATTTATAATATTTGAATTAAATTTATACTATATATTGTGTATAAAACATTTTATGCCCATATTGCTTTTTAATATTGAGCTATATTTATAGAAAAATCGAAAAATACTTTTTTTAAATTTCAGTCTACAAGAAAGGAAGTAGGTTTCGGTGACACAGTTACACATTTTTTTCTAATAAAAGTTCCATTTTCTAACCTAAGCCTTTATATAATCGATCGTCTGTCAATGGCGGTATGTGCTAAAAGTCTGGCCAAAAGATATTTGACTAAATATTTCTTTTGAAATGCTGATTTATTCCCAGGTTACCTGCGGATGAGAGAGAGTTTTAATTAAAATTTAAATATAATAAACCAGATCTTCCAAAATGTATGTCATTTTGAAAAATATTTTATGTTTAAAATTACATTTATGTTCTTTTGAGAGTGAGAAAATGGAAATTTATATATATATATATATACAAGTTATTTTTTCAAAGGGTATTATTTTTTATAATTAAAGAAAATTCTTTGATATTGTTTACAATTATTACAATAATTTTGGCTATACAGTAAAGCCTCCCAAGAGTAACAAACAAACAAAAAAGGATAAACCCAATTTCTCCTAGAGATACTTTTTTTTTTATCAGACCCTGTCATGTCAGGCCAAGTCAGGAGAAGTCTTTCAACTGAAATGAGTTATCTTATGAGAGACCACCCCCATGAGAGACCATATTTACCCATGTTTTTAAGTTATGGTCATTCGTGGATGTATTTTCATTAATTTTGAAATTTTTTCACGTGTGTAGACATGTGGTGCACCTACAGTTAAAGCAGTCGCCTACTTCTACCCACCAGGTTTATTTATGGCCTGTACTACGTGTATTTTTTAAAAATATGTTTACAATTAATATAAAATTTACTCATACAAGGTAATAAAACCAAATAAATAAATAGTGTGTGATGTTTTGGAAACACCATTATCATGATCATACAAAAGACTGAATGTTAACTTAAAGATTTAGTCTTTTGTATGAAGATGGTAACAACACCGTTACTGAAACGTACCACACTATTTATTTATTTGTATATGGTCTTATT